AGAGGGGAATAGGGGGGCTAAATAAGGGGCAAGAAAAAAAAACACTCAAAGACTTTCTTTAAAAAAAAAAATCTCCTAAGGAAAGCCGCAGTGCAGAGTACACACTATAGTGCATCGTCGGCAGCAAAAGGGTCCGGCGGTCCGTCTGTCTCTCTGGGCACGGGCGCTGTCGGTCTGGGCGTGGGCACCTCGCCTTTTTTTGCCGGATCGTTTTATTATTTAGAGAGGGATAGTAGAGAGACTTGGGCAGCGTCAGTGGAAAATGGAAAGTGGTTTCGCCTGTTTGCGGCAGCAGTGGGCGCTTCCGAGGGGAGAGTGGGTGTCCAGGTCCAGGCCTCACGTGCCTGCGGGGAGAGAAAAAAAGGGGAAGTCATATACTGGGGTAAAAATTGTGTGACTTGTGACGATTTTCACACATTTATGTTTCTCTGGCGTGCGCTCCCACGCAAACTTTGAATACGAATTTACCGATTCGTTCGCGCCGCACGAGCGGCTGTAAATTGTGACGGAAAGCAACCCGACAACCGGACACATAACGTGGCAAACATTACCTTCCCCTCTACCCCCCTCACTTTCTTTCTTCCTCTCTCTCTCTCTCTCTCTCTCTCTCTCTCTCTCTCTCTCTCTCTCTCTCCAACCCAATTTCGCCAGCAGCGGGGGGACTTAATTTTACTTCGTTGTCGTCACAGCGCGGTTCGCTGGAGTGTCGTCCCTGCCAACACCGGAATATGGAAGCTGCCCTCAGGGCCCGCGGCACGCTCCCCCTTTTTCATGGTGTGCGTGTGTGTGTTTGCGTACGCTTTGGTGCGTTTTTCAGGCATGTGTGTGTGTGTGTCCTCGCACCCGAGTCGAATGGTGGTAAAATGTTTGTTTTGTCAGGGATGTCGATTAATACCCTTTCCCTCCCGCCCCCCCTCCTCTCCCGTCCCTCCCTCTTCTCCCCTCCCGGACGCTGAAAGCCTTTGCCGCCGCGACCGCACACCGATTATGCACTCTACTAGCCTCGTTTGTTTGTTTGTTGCGGTTGTCGTGACATTACACAATTATTATACACCTACATGTCACTGTCGTATATGTTAATGAGCGTGATAAAAAAAATAACCAAAATAACAAACGCCGCACCACAACAAAGTCCAAATAGAGCTTGCGCTACTTTTGTGTGGCCTGCAGCAGCAACGCGAACACGCGTTCAACATTTCTCTACCGAGCGTGCACACCACACTTGTATGCGCGCGTGTGTGTGTGCGGGTAAGTTTGTGTGTAAATGTGTGTGCGCTTGTAAGTTCGTGTGTGCGTGTAAGTTTGTGTGTGTGTGTGTTTGTGTTACCAGCCGTTGGTCAGGCGATCCTGGTCGGCGGCCGGCGCGCGCGACAAGGAGTGATAACACAATTACATAAAGTTGCGCCACACAGGGGGCACCGCGGCGGCCGAGCTGGGCGAGTGGCGGAGTGGGGTTGTGGTGGGGCGGGTCCGGAAGTGCAGCGGCGCGCGGACCTACTCCATGCAGCCCCTTCTCTGAGGCCGGGTGGGCGGTGGGCGCCGCCGCTGCTCTGGCCGGCCGGACCCGCCCTGGTGCGGGCCGACCCCTATACTTGGAACGCCCCTGGAACGCCTTCCCTTCCTGGAATGTCGGTACGGAGGCGATGCTGAGCGCTTGCTGTGGGCTTGATTAGGGTAGAGTTCGGCACAGAGGGCTGCAGCGGGGCACCTGGGACTTTAACTATATTATCAATAAGCCGTGAATTTGGAGGGAGGAAGAAGAAGGAACGGCTTGTCGTCTCCGCAGAACTTCGGCTATGTGTGACTTTGAAAAACTGAATAGCAACGCGTCATTGTTAGTTCTGGGGCTTTGCAGAGAAGCCGCTCTTGTTTGGGACTAAACCCTGCGCGGAGCCGCTCGGGTTGCGGACGAGTCGTCCCGCCCCGCCCCGCCCCGCCCCGCCTGCGGTCCCTTTAGTCCCTTTACCGTTGGGATTACCGCTGCGATTCTATGCGGCGATGGCAGGGCGGGACCGGGGTGCTCCAGGCCGAGTGGTCTGCAATCCGCATCTACTCTTAACTGCACGACCATCATGTCGTTTAGAATCTTTTGTACATTTTTCTATGTACTTGTAAATGATATCTTTTTGACGCCGTTTACTTTTCATTTTTAACCATCTCAGTGAGTCGGTGGTTTGCGTTTGGTAAAGTTAAGCGGATTGAATGCTTTAGGTGCCGGGTGTATGCAACTTAGGGGGCGTTTTTTCCTTTCCGGGAACACCTCACAGTCAGCCCGCCACCGGTGCAAATCCCCCAACGGGCGCAGTACCAACAAGGGCGGGAAAGCGTGGGTCTTCACTACAGCTCTGCTCTTGCCAGAGCGAAAATAAGGTAGAACAGTCCACGGCGGTCGTGAGAGCTCAGCTCTGCACCGTTCGGAGCTAAAACAGTTTGCCAGGGATTGTTCCTGTATCAGAACTGGTTCATGATATTAATGGTCGCTATTACGTGCACATATCTTTTCCGGTTATCCTATAATCTTAGAAAACTATAATCTCTTCATAACCCTTATACTTAACAGTACGGCTCAGGCCAGCTGCAGAACCCTCGGTTCAGAGAAACCTAGTGAGGATCAATGTTCTGAGACTGCGTGATGTATATGTTAAATGTAAATGTATTTTAATAAAAGAAAGTGATACATATACAGGGTTGGTGATCCGCGCCTTGGTTTTTTCTGCTTATACTGTACCGGATTCATGGGTGCGGACGGGTTGCATAGTCGCACGGGGTCATAAGGCGCCATGGCGAGCGACGATAGGCAAGCCCGCCCGCACGCGTGAATCCGGTACAGTATAAGCAAAAAAATACCACGGCGCGGATCACCCACCCTGTGTTATAGCACAATGATTTTTCATATCATGGTGTTATCTGCTTTAAAAATCGTTCAAATATGAATCCCTTTCGTTTTCGCGTATTTTATTAAATTCCTCTAGAACGAGTTTATTTGTTAAAAAAATAAAGAAATAGTGCGAGAGCTAGAGAAATGGGGGGGGGGGTGAAAAATGCGCAGTGACGCAACACCGCTGACGACAGAAAGGAGGCAAGAGCGCTTTACATTCCCTCAGGCCTCACGTGTGTCGGTACGGCCAGCGCCGACCTCACCACTCTCCATGGCGCGGACAGTTCGCTTTGTGTCGGCCCAGCGCCGAGCTGCACAAGGATTAACTCGGCTGCACAATCATTAGTAATGGAAAACACAATGCGCGCAGCATTGACACGGTTCGTCGTGTGTGTGTGTGATGTTGTCGTGTATGCTTAGTAAGTAAGTCACGCTAAAATCAGCCTCTAATTTTTATTCAGGAAAAATTGGAAACTTTGAGAAAATCCTATATTTGCAAAAAAACTAGTGATCAGATCTGTTTCCAAGATCCTAAAAATCTGAGGAGTTTTTCCTAAATGTGGAAGTTCCACAAAGGTTTCCTTTTTCCTCACAAAATCAGACATTGTCATTAACCTCTGGTACCTCTAAGATTTTCAAAACTCTTTTTGAAATCATCCTACGAAAGAAATACTTTAAAAAGCACACACTAACCGGCTCGTTGGAGGAAGTTTCTAAACAGTTCATGCGTAAGGCACTCGACGCTAGAAAAGTGAGAGAGAGAGACAGAAAGACA